AACATGCAGCTAAGAAGGGAATAAAAACAGTTTTAACATGCATTACCATTAAAAATTATTTTAAAGCTCTTCTAAAACCACAAAATAGATATGAGAGTTTGGTGAAAGTCAGATGATCTGTTAACAAGTAATTTTTTTCTGAGAACAGTGAATCTGATGAAGCCTGAATGCTTGTTCTCTGTCACCTCAATCCATGTAACAATCTCAGCTATTTTTCACATTTTAGCTTAAGATTTGGTTTTAAAATGCATTTCTGTATATAGAAAACAGACTACAGTGTTTCAAAAAAGAATTATTACAGAAAAACCTACTGTTCTCAGCTAGAATTTTCCATTCTTTTCAAGAAAGTGCTATACAAGCGCTCTATCCTATCAACATGAAAGTCAAAGTGGCACATATACAAAGTTACCAAACATTTCTCATAGCATTCATGTTTTTCTGTGAAATCTTTAACATGAGGACCTGAAAACTAATAAGGGCACTGCTATTGGTTCTACACTAAGATCTAAAAGACATTGTTTTAGGTGAACAGATATGAGCTAGCTTCTGCAGACATTTACTTAGCTGTTTCTGAGTAGCTAAAGCAAAGGTTTTAAACTTCTTTTTTGTTTTGCTTCATCCTCAACTGGTAATATATACAAGTAACAGCCTTTTTTTAACTATTATTTTTGTAGTAAGCGTAAAACCAGAAAATATATAGAAAAAATAGTTTAAATGTCAGAGGTTTTTCTGTCTCTTAAAACAGTTTGAATGCACTTTATAAAGACATTGATGAAAGCTATTTTTTTCTGAACCAGTTCTGGCTTAAATCATGCTTCTTTAACCTGGAGAGCCACAACAGTGCACACAGTTTCAGATGCGTGCTCTCACTTGACTTTCAGATGTCAAAATACATTACATAAGTGTCAGAATCTTTCAAACAGCTTATTCAGTATCTGTCAATATCAGTATGTCCTTGGTTCAGCGCAGCTATATTTTATGAAGTAAAAACAATGTCCAGAGTTTGGAAAAGTAGTGACAAGTTCTACAAGCCTTCAGGCTTAAAATACAAAATGAATTAGGACACAGGTTTTTCTATTTCTCCATGAGAACTCCTTTTCAACAAGTGCTGGCAAAGTAACATGTTTAGAAATACAAGGGACTCTAATATTGTTTCCAACAGTAAACAAAACACACTGCCAGACATGGTGCACATTCCCAGATTTTGGAGTTACATCTTCTTTACTGATAGTTCAGTGGAAAGTACTTTTGCAAACAATTCTTGGGCACAGTTCAGGCTCAGTGTGAGTGTGAACCAGTCTCATGGCACACTTGTGTATATACCACCTGTGTAAGCAGAGAAAAACTTAATAGATTGCAACTGGCTGCTCTGTGCCAGCTGGTTTCAGCACCAACAAACACCCCCTTAAACAATCAATTAATTAGTTCAGATTCAGTCTGCTCCATGACCTGGTAATTATCTGAAAGTCAGAAAACGTTCTGATTCCTAGCATCAGAGCATCCAATAAATACTGTTATTAGCATATAGTATCTGTAAGAACATCCTGCAGAGCATCTTTTTTTAATGTCTAACAACTATCAATCTAAAATTCTGTAATCATTACAGAGAAAAAAACAACATTAAGAACTCAGTCCAAAAAATATCTTACAATTCAGTGGCTTTTTTTATTTTTCCAGCTTTGATTGGCTACTATACGTAATCTAGGAGTCATTAGGAGATGAATGAGTGTGGTGCTGGGTTGAAGTGCACTCTGGGCACCCCCAAAACCCACCTTCCTGCTACAGGCAAACCCTTGCTCCCAGCTCTGGAAACTATCTTTTGAGAGATGTCCTGTAGCAGCCAGTGTTAAGTGGAACAACTGAAGGGAGAGAACTGTCCTTGTGGGACAGGTTTTCAAGTTCTCTAAACTGTGAAGTACTGTGCACTAAGTACACTCATATGAGGTTGATGTCACACTCAAAGAAACTCTGAGCTACCACCATATCAACACACAAATTTGTGGTATTGCAAATTTAGATATAACAGTCAAGTAAGCAAAAAGTAAATCTAAGCATATGAACATTTTAAGACATCGCTTATTACGTAACAATGAACAATATGACATTATACTGTCATTTTAAGCTCTCCTTCCCCCATTGCAATTATTCTCTCTCAGGAACAAAAATTTCCTGTCTTACTAAAACATTCACTCTTGAGAAAATAGAAGTATTACAAGCATGTCTTAACTGCCTACAGATTTTTCAAATCAAAACACTTCATATAAAACAGTACTGCCACTGTTAAACTCAACAAAACTAGATTTTCCACTTACTCTTTATATGTTCCTGTTTCAGAATCTTCAGTCATAACATCATGTAGTCCTTCCACTGAAATATTGATGATACCACAAAATTTGTCTTGGATTACACTGTAAAAGACCAAAATTTATCTTGGATAACATTACAAAAGAACAGGAAAATGACTAAGCTAAAGGAACTACACATGAAATTTGCTCAATAACTGTAGAGCACATTTACCAAGAAGTACTCTTAAATATAATAAAACCCCACGTGCCCCTGTTGAAAACTTAGAAATAATTGTAAATTAATAAAAGAAAATACACATCAGCACAGGAGTCAAGAACTGAGCGAGAAGGGCATGCCCCTGCTAGCAGGAAGATCAGGAGTACTGGCTTCTAATCCCAACACCACTTCTGGCACCACTATTCAATGTATAAACCTACACATAAACCCTTGAGCAGAGGTGGCTAGTAAAAATGGTTTATTCACTTACTTACGTGTGTTTCTCCACCCTACTAGGCTGCTGACACCCCAGAATGGGTGGAAAATCCCTGCACCCAATTCTGTGCAAATGTCACTTCCCAGACTATAGAGAAAGGTGAGGCAGGATTTCTCTGCCTAAACATGGACACCTCCAGCCATTTGAAACACCTGGCTATTTCAGACAAATGCAAAGGGCTGGTAGGCTTTACTCAGCACCTTTATCCAGCATGACCTGAAAGCCAGATTAGATATCCGCATAATGCCCAAAATTACACTAAACATGTTTACACTTGCCCCTGCCTTGAGAATTGATGCGTCTGTAGGGTAGGGACATTGAAATATGATCTTCCCAGGATGGAGAAAGTAGATGACACCAACTCCTAGTTAATCGAAAGCAGCCAACTTCTGCTTCCACTTAATTTCCTGCTACTGTGGATATAATGTCAGATGTGGGATTGTGGGACCTCGGTGCTTGGTCTCCTACTCTGTGACTTACAGAAGGGTGGAGACACACTGCAAGTCAAAAGATGTTCATCTTGGGAAGACTGAAGAACTTCCACTTACATACAGCAAAAAAAGAGAAAAGGCCTGACTGGTTATGGTAAACCACAACTCTCTTCCTAGGACTGCCATTGACTGAAGCACTTTACTGCTTCCTGTTTGTAATTTCAGGCTTAATTATCCCCTAAAGACGCTGCTGCTGCCACCACCCAATGGGCAGAAGCAGATACATTCCATTTATTTACAAGCACTGAACACTAAATTCATGTATTGCAGTTTGATTGTAGCTGACCACAGATGAATCTATTTCTTAATACTTTTTCATTTTCTTTTCTTATTTGAGATGAAAACTGAAGACACTCAATTATGTATTCAACTTTTAAATTCTGAGGTTTTATGTAAAAATTCTCAATTTTTATTTCAATTACACAGATAAAGACTGTAGATAAAGCTTTACCATCAACTTAAAACATATGTCATGATGAATTTTTAGTGGTCCTTAAGTAAAATGGACCCCATGTCTCCTATGCATCTCCCTCAGAATGAGCAAAATAATCTGTATGGGAAAACATACTTTTTTAGAGATTAAAAGAAAGAATATAATTTCTGCTTTTTTATTCACCAGGGGGAAGCAATAAACAGTGTGATTTCATATATTTACTAGTGTAGAGATTTGAAAGAGATTAATTAATTATTCTTGTCTCATTATCTAAGAAAATAAGTAGAGAGGGACAATCAGAGATTACTTTGCACATACTGTGACCAACATAAATGATTATTACACACACACACACCCCCTTAGGAGCTGCATAGTACTAGGGAGCTCCTACAGCAATAAAGTAGCAGCTAAGACATTTCCAGGGGATGACTATGACTGACTAACCTGATCTCCATGAAACACCATTTTGTTTTATGGGTGCAGACTCAACTAATATAGCTCAACTAAGCCTTCTAATGTATTCCTTAATGATTTTAATAGACATATGAACCACACATGTATATGAAAGGGTCTGTTTCCTGGCATGAATATTTAAATACAAAAGATACTAACTGCAAAAGAAAGGCATTTCCCCTCAAAATTGCATAATGAACTTCCCAGTTCCTTGTCAGTCTAATCCCTATGCTGCCAAGCTGGATATAAGAGAATATCTCCACTACAAAGGATGGTTTCTAACTGCTCCAATTCCCTGCTCACACACAGCTGTGACAGCACTGATTTCCTTTCAAGTTCCATTGCTACAGATAGTGAGACTCACACCTGGAAAACAACTCCTACAGCAGCTTGTCAGTGAGAATGATGCACCTTCAGAGGGAACCTCTCATGCAGAGAGCAGCTGTGGAAATCAGAGCCTAAAATAACAGAGCTGCTCCCTGCCAGATTTCCTTGAGAATTAGGTATGTTCAGTCTCAACCTTTGCCCACTCCCAAAACTCCTACGTAACCAAGGCATAGAAGCATTTCTAGGAAGGAAAACCTAACTAGTTTCCATCAAATTTCAAGTCCATTATTTCTGAAGTCACCTATGTAAAACTGCAAATAGAAATATGGGAAACAAAACTGCTGAATTTACTACTGTGCAATTGTGAATCTACTACTCACCAATTGCAGAGCTGTTATTAAATGAAAACAAATTTAATATCACAAGGAATTATGTAGGAGAGACCAAATGTAACAAAAATTAATTAAAGAGGAAGGGACTGCAGTGGATTAGTCCCTGAAAAAAAAAAAACCAACAAACCAAACCAAACTTAAATTACAGCCAGTGTTTTCCCTCCTTAAAAGCGTTTGCCCATTACACTTAACATCTGATCTACAAGTAGAAAATTATTTAAAAAATACTTTCTAATTAAGCAACCCAAAACAGTTTAAGCTAGTTTAAACAGTTCAAGTAGCTGAATTGAGTGATCCCTATAAGTATTGGATCTATTACGCAGTAAATTACAGTAAAATACAATATTACAATATACTAAACTGGTATTTCATTACATTCAATTGAGATACATAACGAGCAACAACGAAAGTACACTTGCACATTCGCACCCTTCTCAGTACACTCAAGGTTTATATACTTTTCATATTTTCATTCCTAGAAAAGAATTGCAGATAGACAAACACTATAATAGGAAGTAGTACAACCCAGTCAAGCACATGAGTTACACCAGCAGGAAGCAGGCAGGACAGAAGGAGAACCCTGAGGGCAGTTCTGGCTCATCTGGGGAATGCCAGAATCTCAGGCTGAAGCCTGGAACAGTAACATACCTCCACACAATTTACATCAACAGCATGGAGGAGAGACTACCAAAGCATTGTTCCCCACTTTTCCTTGAACAAAGTGATCTAACTGTAAACTGTGTAACTTATAAACCACATGGTCGTAGTCTGTAAGGCACAGGCCTGTAGAGGACAAATACTACCTACAAAAGTAAGTCCCATCAGTTGAAAATAAAGCTACCATACAATAGACACAACCTGACAATATCAGAACATCAGTATTTGAAATAGAAATTGTTAAAAATCAGTGAAAACTAAATAGGAAAATATCCATATTTTTAAGATGAAGCCTTTGCTAGGAACATGTATTTTGACCCGACACTTCCAAAAATAAACCAAAAATGTTAGCAATTACTTTAGCATGATGTATTTACAGTGCAGGGCATTTCTTCAATTTGTACATCTTATCTAGCCAAAAAGCCCCTCAAACTATTACTACATAGATGACAAAGTATCTTTTATTGAAAGTAATTAACCAGCTTTATTACCTTTTATTGAAAGTAATTAACCAGCTCTATTACCTTAGACATAATAAACATGGTCAATTTTTCAATTCAAGAGAACTTTGGTTTCCCTTAACTCCAGTTTGTGGTATTTAATAAAATGATACAGATACACACTAACAAAAAAGTCACTTTAATATATTCATTATACAGACTGAATACACAACTTTATATGTAAAAATGTTACAGATATTAATAAAATTTGTCTAGTTTTAAATTTTTCTCTTCAAGAGTTGCAACAACCTAGCAGTAAGTACACTCCCTTTTTTTTCCACTGTGCTTATTAATAGGAGGCAGAGTAGAAACTGCATTAAGGTAAATATATAAAGCACTGTATATTTTCTCATTCCCCAAGACTCTTCAGCTTTGTGATCCTGCTGAGAACAGATGTTTTGCTTGCTTCAATCTTCAAGTTCGCTATGGAATTTCTACAGGAACATACTAAGTATTGCGAATTAAATTAAATAAAAATGTACTTTATACTGCATGTATACTTCACCTATAGGTGAAAGATTCCTACAAACAAGGACAGAGGATAATAAACCTATCCATGTCAGATTTAAATGACACATAATAAAATAATAAACTTCAAAACATTCAGGAAGCAAAAGATGATGCAGAACTCAAATTGTGCCATTTCCCACAATTATATCAAGCAGTTGCTTTTAATCAGTTAAGGTATTTTTAGAAAATTGAGTCCTTGATTTTTTGACCTTTTGTATCAAAGTAAAGTTAACACCAAATAAATTGAGTTAAATTACAATGATGAATGTTCGAACAGTATTACCTGTGCCTGACTTTCTGATGCTGTTCGCTTGAGCAGCCTAATTTCATCCAGTTCTGAATGTCCAACTGATTTCCGAGTTAGTGACTGCACTGGGTCAGTTATGTTATATCTGCTAGGCTGATAAAAGCCATAATATTGTATTCTCTTTTCCCCTGAGTTTTCCAGAACATTTAGTTTCTGCCTAAACTGAATAATTTTACAGGTTAAGAACAGGATTACAGCACAAGCCAGAATGAAAAAGCCCAGTAAAATGTCAAAAGTCTGATTCAGCTTTTCAACCTGTTGTGCACACTTCAGGGATGTTTTTAATGACACAGGAGCAACATCTTTTGGACCTTGTTTTTCTACAGTTCTGTTAGTTGGTATAATCTGTGTTGGTATTTGCACTGGTAATGTTGATAATACTGTAGTTGCCTGTGAAAGAATTTCAACAGCATTTCCTTCATAGGGCAAAGGGGTAGCAGATGTAGTTGTAGTTCCTTCCCAGAAAGCAACATATTTTGTTTCTGCATTGACAAACTGCTCAAGGTTCTGCCTGTTTCCTTTGTGCCACGCCATCAGCCACGTGGTAGTGCTTTGATGGACACCAACAGATCCCAGACTCCAAGCAGTCTCTGGGCTGACAGTAGGGCTAATGCAGTTTGAAAACTGAGTCCACTTAATGTAATGCAAAGGTCTACCACGCATACTCTGGGGATTCTGACAATGAATTCTTACAGAAATGGGAGACAACATCAGCCAATTAAGTAACCCAAGCATTTTGCAGCTGCAGTTCCAAGGATTAGCATTTACCTGTAGATGAGTTAGAGATACTAAAGGCTTGAGCACTTCAGGTTGTAACTCTGTAATATTATTAAATGCTAAACTTAGTATTTTAAGTGACTGCCCTATTTTTTCAAAGGTACCATCACCAATACTGGCTATTTTATTTCTGTCTAGCTGCAGATACATTAAATTGTTTAATAAACTAAAAGTGCTGGAATTTATATTTTCTAAATCATTATAACTTAAGATTAACTGGCTAAGGTTGTTCAATCCAAAAAATCCATTTACAGCAATACATTTTAGCCTGACATTTTTCAAAGACAGATATTTAAGCTTGTTAAGTCCTTTAAATGCAAAAGACTGTATTGATCCAATAGGATTGTGAGACAAAGAAAGTCTTTCAAGATTTTTGAGCTTTCCAATAGCATTCGATGGCACAAGTTTCAAGCTGTTACCTTCAAGAAACAAATATGCAAGGTTTTCAAGATGATGAAATGCTGAATCTGATATCCGTGAAATCTTATTATTGGCTAGGTTTAGTGTTTGGAGATTTATCATTCCCAAGAAAGTCTCCCTTCCAAGGACACTGAGACGATTTCTTTTTAGCGATAAATATCTAACAGAAAGAAGATCACTAAATAATCCTCTGGGAAGAAAAGCTATTTGATTATTCTGAAGGTATAAACAGTGAAGACTGTGAAGGCCTTCAAAGATTCCTGGATCCAGGCGTTTAATATTATTGTTATTTAGATGCAAGTAGCACAGTTTGGGGAGTTCCACAAAAGCTTTTGGGTGTATGTACAAAATACTGGAGTTATCCATGTGGAGTGCAGCAAGCTTCTGAAGCCCTCTTAGTTCATTTGGAGTGACACATGATATATTATTTCCACTGAGGTACACAAGAATTGTCGTTTTTGGTAAGTTCCAAGGGATGCTTGAAAGCCCTGCATTACGACAGCTAACTTGTCTCCCTGTGCAGAGTTGACAAGCAGATGGACAGCCAAAAGCCTCCTTCTGAAGCAGCAACAAAAAAACCCAATTAAGTATATACAGGAATGGTCCTGGGCAAGGTGGAGAACTTTGCAGAACATACATATCCCTGTCATTGACCTTCTTACTCATCTCTGAGTTTGCTAGTAGAGATAAAAAAAGTATATAAATATTATTAAATCAAATATATTAACTGTATAAATATTAATTATTATTAAGTAATTAAATCTATGTGTACAATCTTTAATACATTAGCATTGCTCTCAATACTGGTATTTTACACATTCTCCTTTCATGACAAACAAGCAGTTTAAGACTTAAACTTACTAAGTCTGAGCTACACTGAAAAAAAAATTTCAAAGTAAATGAACAATTAAATAAATGTACTGCCAACCTAGCCAGAAAATATTTAACTGATTGCAGCATAAAAGTAGCTTCTATTAAATTAAAAATACTACTTATTAACTACTTTTTATAATTAGACATTACTAAGCAATGTTTCAAAAGCATTCAAATAGAAATGCCAATTGTAAACAGGTTTCCTTTCACTGGCAGCTCATTTATAATTTGAATTTTACCTTTATAAAGCTCAGTTACAGTCAAAACAAATATAAACAATTGCTTACCCCAAATTTGAAGTTCATTATTTCCATTATTTTGCCATTTGCAGTTTATTGCAGTTATAAGCTGATCAACTGTACTCATCTGTGAAACCTTCATAAAGGCAGTATTACTGCATACTAGATCACTCACATTTTGCCCCAGGATTTGCAACAGTTTGCTCAGGAAACTAAGAAAGAAGTGCTTAAAGTCAGGTTGTCATGGATACAGGAAACCATGGGACAGGAAGCCATTTTATCTGTGCTTCAGAAGCATTGTTGGAAAGGAAATCTCAGTGATTTTTTTTCTAGAAAATCAAGAACCATCTTAGTCTGTAATTGCTACTTTTTATTATATACTAATTTTTAATCTACTGATTTACCCAGTTAGTTCAAAAGAGTTTTATCTTAGTTAGGTGTAACTTTCAGAATAAAGCATAACTATTCGTAACGGCATTATTTCATTACCTGTAACTTTATCTTTTAGCCAGAATCTGAAATGTTTTTTTTTTTTTAAATCAACAGCAACACTTACACTGTTCCACTGCGCTCTCTCTGTCTACAGAGCCAAACTATATCCACCACATATATGTTGGCCCAGCCAACAGTGAAAAGATGAGAGTCTGGATGGAACAGCCCCAGTGCCCCCCATACTCTGGCAAGGCACAGCCTGCCAGCAATCCCAAGGAAACCAGGAAATCTTAAGGGATAGGAACCACATGATGTGGTGCTAAAAACTGCTGTGTATTTTGGACTTGACCCAAGCACTTTGTTAAGTCTCAGTTGAGGTCACCTTTTTTAAAGCATTTTATCCACAAAGGACTATGGTTCCAAGAACCACGCCTTTGGTCCACAGCTTTTGTTTCCTGCAGTGTCCCTTGTGCAGATAAACACTTAGTGCAAATGTGGGCCATAAATATACCCCTTGCCTAAGGACTGGAGATTACATCCTCAGTTTATCCATCACAAACTCAAAACACTTGTGAAGTCCAGTCACATCATCAAAGCAGGAAAGGGGAGATTAAGCCTACAAATAGCAACATAACTGTAAATCCACAATTTTACTGCAACAAGACCATCTGTTCAAAAAAACAGAGGACAATGCCCATTAGTAGTTATTGCCTAGGAAGAGGCACAACAGAAAGAGAACAGTCACTTCAGCTACAATGAGCTCGCACAGGAAGAATGAGCCCACCTAAGGGATGAAATATAACCCAAATGCCTTTGTCTATATAATCCAACCTGAAATGCATGACACACATGAGAAAAGGAAACAGAACAGACAAGAATGTGCTTTTGAAGAAGCTTTCTTCCAAACATCTAATCTAAAATAAGAAATCAGTAGGACCAGTAAAATTGGTCCATGGGCCATTTTAGACAAAGCCTGTATCAGTTACAACAAAGAATTAGATCTGCATTTGGCTTTTTTTTCCTGAGACCAATAAATAACTAAGGAAATTAATTGTTCTTTAGATTTAACTATTTTTTTCACACTTTAATTTTTTCACTGTATTTAACATAATTGCTGATTTAAAGAAAAGTAAAATAAAATGGCATGGCATCTGCTTAAAGAGAAAGCACTGTACAGTTTTGACTGTTCACAGGAAGATTGGTGAATTAGCCTGGATATGGAAGACAAAATAGTAGGAGTAATTGAAAAAGATTAACCAAATCAAATAGAGCCACATGAGGGGAAAGCCACAGATTGACCAAAAATGAAAAGTGACTTCAAACAGGAAATTATCTTCTACCTAAAATAGGTAGGGAGGCTTCACTACTACACTAGCTTACTTATGCTGATACTTACATGTTGGAAAAAACCAAAATATTTCTTCCAAGATGTGCTGTGTGAAACAACCCCTTAAGGCTTGAGGAAGTAAGCCAAATTAAAAAAAAAAGTTTTGCAAGGCAAACCTTAATAGATCTCAGGTTTTGCAAAATGTCAGAACTAACAGACTAAGGGAACTGATGAAGCTCTGTAGGATTCAGATAACATGAAAAGTTAGAGAATCAAGTAGAGTAGTGACCAGATAAATGACATCATTTTGGGCAAAACCATAAAAAAGATTGGGATACACAGGTAACTTGGATCAGCATTTCTCAAATAGGCTTGTACTTAAACAGTAAAATTTATTACTAGTTGAAAACTACACAATTATTTTTCTCCTTGAGGAAAAAGAAAACAAGTTTCCATTCCATAACTCTTATTTGACTTTAGACTCTCGTAAAATAATATGACAGAAAGCTTTTGTGAAACTAAGAGCTAATTTGAGAAATTGTTAGAATTAATTTTTTTTCTTCATTCAGAAAATAGTCTTCTATGGAGCAACCAGTAGGTAAATGAACAAAACAGTAATATATTGGCCATCAATGAAATCCACAGATGTGATATGCTGACTATAACGATTATATTTATCACTTTAGCCTTTACTATTCACTGCAATATTTTGTACATTCTGTTCAAACTATCAAAGCAATAAGAAATGTATTCAATATGAATCTAATTCAAACCAAAAGGCTTAAGGAACTCAAAGCACTTTCCCAAATTTCAACCAAAATATCTAATTCACCTTTGAGAAATTGATTAAAAACTAAATCCAATTGCAAAGCAACACTCTGCCTGCTAGTTTAGGAGACAGGATGGGTATATACTTGGCATTAGCAGCTGACAGCTTCCAAATATTTAACAAAAAGAGAAAACTTCCTAAGAACTACTACAGACAATACCCACACACAAAATACAAAAGCTACGCTTTAAACATACAGACATTCTTTATACTTAGGCACTTTTTGTTATATTAAAACCTGATGTTCCGTATTAAACTTTTACTTTCTCATTAAATTGTATGAATATGAAACATTGTTTCTCAAGACACTACTTAAGTACAGAAGTTTTTGTAGTGACATGGGTTGTGGTATTAATCATTTTTGGTATCTTACCACAATAGTCTGGCTCTGCTAAAAAAAGTCACCGAAAATCTCAGCTACTCTATGGAAGTCTCAAATTTCAGAGTGTAGAGCAGAAAGATAAGGAGATGTAGCAAAATGTCTCAAAACAAGCTGAGCCACAAAACCAGCTGCAAATCTATTTTTTTTTTAAACTTTGCTACAATCCTGTGATTTTCATACATTTTTAATAACATGATATATTTCAGTCACTACTTATTCAATAACCAATTTGCAAACATGTAAAGCTCACATTACAAAGAGTTTGAAGAAAGCTAGTCAGTATGTTATCAACTACTGCTGTCTTTTATATAATGAAAATGGTCAATTTTAAGGTAAATCATATTTAGAAGAGTTTAAGGAAAGATTTCTGAAATTCTTTATACAGGCCACAAACAAAACCAGATATCAGCAAGAACCAAACCGTTATGACTGCAGTTTGTTTTCTACAGCAGTTCAGCTGCACTTAGTGGCATAATTCCTTGCCGTCACTTGGTATATTTTTCCTTGAAATCAAAGCTTACAGGTCTTAGGGGAAAAGATAATATGTCCCTGACCAGTCCATATTAACAATCAGGTGTAAGAGGAAAATTAATGGAGATTGCAACAAGAAAAGTTTAATGAGTGCATCCTTTTGCCAATGCTGTAATGGGACATGCAATTAAGGAAGTGGTAGTACTCCATGTAACCTTCTGAATTATGCAGATTCTGATAGTCAAGCTAAGACCAAAGCTACATTTTTCACTCTTATCAATAGACTGCACTGTTACCTGTTAGGCAAGCTAAACAAATCCAAGGCCAAACACTGATGACAACTGCAAAATCATAATTTGAAGAGCTCCTTTAAATGCTAATAGTCCATTAAAGGTGTGAGTGAGCACACCTTTGACTAGAGGGATTAAAAAAAAAGGAGGGGAAAATAGGGAAATGGCTCCAGAGTATCATTTCTATAAAGAAAAGAGGATGTACAAATAATTATGTAAGCAATTCTGACTTTATAAATGAGGCCATAACTACCCTGAGGAGAACATGACATTTTATTAGGCACTTTCTTGTCATTTCCTAACATTACATATAGACAACTTCTTGAGAGGAAAATTAAAATTTCTAAGTAACTTTAACAAATGACAGAAGCAAAACTTCTATAACAACCTAATGAAGATTTATAATTGCATACTGTAAGTAGTTATACTCACAAAATGGCAATTATCTAACTGGTAGAACTCATATTAGCTGACATTTCAGACTTGATGACACAGTGAGAGAAAGCAGACATTTACACAACAATTAGAAATGAGCAGAGAAACCTGGAAAACCTCTTAACCTTTCCTCACAATAGATAAGCATATTTGACTCAAAGGAGCAAAATTAAAACTGCCACTACTCATATACCACAAATCAAAATGAAGAAAGACAAGAAATTAAAATACTTCATATTTCAAGTTCAGCCATGTCTCTTCTACTGTAGAGTGGTTCCACTGCCTACCACTGTAGATTCTACTCTACAGTGGTAAGTCCACCAAAAATGAGAATGTCCTCAAGGACCAAAATTAGTGGACTGTTTTGGAAAGCACTGACTTGGAGTAAAAACAAACTTGGTAGTCTCCCATTCAAGAATGACAGGCACAGTACAAACAACACTCACTTGCAAAAGCAGTGCTTAGCTTTCAACATGGTGTCAAATTCTACCTGTTGCTACAGTTAGGAACCACGCCAAACTCTCCTAATCACTGACATTATAATTTTCCCATATTCTGTTTCCATTTCCAGATTAGAGAATAAATATTCCTATCACTCTTAAGCATCTTTCAGTATGGTTCATGTTCTACTAAAATACACAGGGAACAACTATAGGGATAAAAAAGAAAACTACTTTGCTAAATAAATTCTTAAAAGCTTTCAATAGCACAAAAGAATGACATTCCAAAACATTGTAATGCTGACATTATACAAAGTGACAGAAGTGCAGTAAGCAACTTCCATATGTATCTATCGGTATGAGAAGGGGACATAGTACAATTTTAGCCAGTTTGGTCTCAGGAAATTCAAAGGATGCTGAAGATGTGTACGTTAAAATGCAGAAACCTAGATAGTGGTGGGGGCCCACACCTTTTCCACAATGGCCTAAGTAAGAAGTAGACTACTGCTCCTGATTATGTTCACTGGGCACTACTTTAGGGACCACAGGAACATCTAATAAAACTCTACTACATCTTGAAGAGTGCTCTTGAAGCTGTAGGTTCACAAACAAGCCATTCAGACTCTAGACAAGCTGGAATATGACTGAAGTAGACTAGGAAATCATGACATTTATTATTTTACTCACCCCGGTTGCTGTCATCCCTCACATCTCACACGGTAGCTCAGATACGATTTTTCTCC